AATAGCTGCTAAAAATCTACCTGCATTTATTCAATGTCAGCTAAAAGAGCAGTGACATTAAAAACTTCTGAATTTTCTGTGAAGATATTAACAGAACTTAATGTCAGTTTAGTAAAAAAACTATTATTATTTACAATGGACTACGCTTAGCTAACAGACACATTTCCACCACTCATGGACCACATCCACCTTTTCTCTTAAAAAACTGGGTGACATACTGTCGCCCTTTAGTCCCTCTCTCTCGTCTTTCTCTCCTTTCTTTTATTTTTGAAAGCCTGACTTTATTAGTCGTTGAGACATGGCACACGCGTAAGTACTAGCATCCCTGCTCACATGCTCTCACTCTCTGCTAGAAAGTAACGGCGGTGCTGCACCGCGTTTGGAGGCGGGACCAAACCATTGCATGTAAATAGAGGGGGGTGTACAGAGGCTTTGGATAATTAACTTTTGGAAGAAAAGAAGTGAAATGAATTGTAAGTTTAGTGAGTACATTATCAATATAACGTTCTATTAATGTTAATTCTTGATGAATGATGAAAGGTTACTTCAACATTTTTTTCTTAATGTTCTAACATTGTTTGGGCCCCCATGGTGAGGGTGGCCAATAGGGTGGCCAGGATTCAGCTGGCCACCCCCCAGCTCCGCCACTGCCCTCCCCCCTGGTGCCAGGACCAACAGATCCATCTCTAGGCTCAGCAGCCCTGTCCCCCCATAAGGCTTTGCAGTCTTGTCATGCTGTCCATTGAAAGCCAGTTGGCTAGAAAGCTGGACTTCAAGGACTTGATCAGTGACTTTGCCTGTGAGAAGGCTAGGCGCTGGCAAGGGCGGACTGGCCATCTGTAGAATCTGGAGAACCACAGAACGGCCGGTCGCCAAGGGCCGTTGACGGCCGGCCGGCCCTTTAAATAAAAATGGTTTAAAGTCATAATTTAAGTTGCGCTGACGGCCGACAGAGAGCGACAGCGGCCGCTAATGCAGTTGTGTGGTTCTTATCTGTCAAATAATCACACACGAAGAAGAAAAAAGACCGGCCACACGAAGAGAAGGGATTAGACGCCGCGGCAGACAGGGAGAATGAAAAAACATGGATAAAAATCAAAGAAAACGAAAAGAAAAAGGTGGGCCTGAGAAGGCAAGAGAAAAAAAGGTGAAGTCACTCGCAGGTGAAGCATATAAATGTCGCAAATTGACAGACCTTTTTGGCAGCAGCGCTGCTACAAGCACTATCATCAGCAGCTTAGAACAAGTGCAAGATGATGAAGAGAATGATGAGGGCGCGAGTTCAGATATACAGCCAGCCTCCTGCGTTCATGATGAGGGACAGAGTTGAGCTGGTGGAAGAACCAGCTCAACTGGCACATACAAGAGCAGGGCAAGAGCAAGAGGTAGGTGAGAATGATCCCTTGAACTCAGTGGCGTTTTCTCCTGGAGGCCAAGGGAAGCCAGGCTTCCCCTGTTTTTTTGGATTGTAATTATCATTTTAATAAATAAATAAAAACACTTCGTTTAGTTTCGGTAATTATTCTGCCGGCCCATCTCTCCCCCATTCTCATTGAGTATTTTACAAAGAGTGAAACAGCGCCCCTCTAGATGATATGGTGAAACAGTAGATTGCACTCTCTGTTGCGAGAGGAGGCTCGCCGAAATTGGCTTCCCTTGGTGAAAAAAAATTGAGGGATTGACCAATCAGATGAGGCTCACGTCATGCCTCACAATCCAATCAAATCTTATCAACTTCAGTTTGTACTGTAACTGTCATCACCGCCCTTAAAAAGTAGCAAGCAACTGAAGCAAGTGCAATTATGGAGGGTGGAGATTTGGATTATTTCATAATAAATGATTTTACTAAAGTTCCGCTACTACAGCAGCAACTAAAAATGAAATCTGATGACAGGCCAATGCCCAAACTGGAGCTGTGTACAGAGAGGAAAAAAGGAGCGAATCGGACGTAAAACTTTAAATAATAAACAGCGGATTTCTAACATTTGACATTTCATGTGGCCGGATTTTAGTCCCAGTCCGCCCCTGGGCGCTGGGCTCTTGGTGAGTAAGGCTGAGCAAGGGCTCATAATAACTGTTAAAGGGCAAGGCTATGGTAACGATATTGGATCACTACACACAAGATGCATGATGAGAAAAAGACTGAGAACAGGTAATAGGCTCTGATTTAGCACCACCATCAGGCCTTTTCAATTCCATTTCCGTTTTGTTGTCCATTTACACTTTAATACCCGCTTATTTTGTAGTTGGTATATTTAATAAAATGATCTGCTGCTTATGTTATTTTTTGTGTTATAGCATTTTATAAATGATAATATTGGTGTTAATGTTCACTTTATTTTAATTTAAGAGGTCATGTATTTTTAAGTTATATTTATTTGGATTTATGAATGTTCCATTCAAAAACGTTATTATTAAAAAGGCATTTACAGCATAAAAGATGACTATTGAGGTCTATAGAGTGCCACAGTGACGCGTCCTAAACCCCGGAAGTAAGCTGCGCATGGGTTCCTTCGACAAAAAAGCAATGCGATCTCTCCATAGGATTTTGGAAAATAGCTAAAAATCAGGTCTGTGGTTGAGACACATTTAAGAGACGGATCACGTTTTGTTCAGTCGGATAATCTCCACATGTCTACCCTACTTTTATAATTTTCTAATCATAAATCTATCGATTAGGGTTTTAGGACGCGTCACCGTGGCACTCTATTGTCAGGAATGTTAGTCTTATATCAAATAGTGGATTCTACTGCAGCAGAATGTTGCACGTCTGCACAGTGTTATATTTTCACAGCTCAGTGTCAGTAAATAATGTGCGGTTAGTATTGGACTTCAAGATAGATGCAAGCCTGTACAGGTAGAGTTATTTAAAGCATGAATGAGTGGGTTGGGTTCTGGAGGTGTGGTTACAGTGAGTGTGCTTGGTTGGCGTGGCCTGAGCCTGGTGGTGGGGCCCAATGTGATATCTTTTCATGGGGCCCAAAATCCCTGGCGGCGCCCCTGGATGTAGGCCTACTGTACTTAAGGGGAGACACTACAGGTGAATACAGTAAAATGTGTATCTAATAACGTCATCACAATCGCCACATTGATATGCAAATTAGCCGTTAACTAGGCCTGATTAAAATGCGCTAATTTGTATGCAGTTACCAAGGCATTGCAGGTGAAAAGGATAAAACTAAAAAACACATCACCTCACAACTTCCCCAGATAGTTACTTACGTCAAGTCAGTATTTAAATATAGAGATTAGCTTTAAATCTAAAGATGAATTCAGACATGGCAGTAACACGAACACCATTTATATATGTGTTCTTTGGAAGTTTTCTTTCCATTAGAGTGAAAGAAAACATGGAAGCAAAATAGACCAAGTTAACAAGTCCATGAAAAAACTATCTTTTTGCCTGAAATGTCCTTAAACAGTAACTTCATAGTTTTTATTGTTGGCTGCTCCTTTAATAACTATTAATTGTACTAGTTTGTTGTCTGCTCTTGTGCGTAGTGAATACTAAAGAAGGCCATTGTCTCTGTGTTAGCTGATTATTTTGTAGAATTCTGTTGAGTATTAAACAATAGCGTGAGTGTGAGGGTATTAAAATAAATTGGTCAGTAAGTCAGATGTGCAACTATTTTTAACTTTAAAAAAAAAAACATTTTTCTATAAATGATTATGGGAAGTGCCCTTTTTCTCACTTGAGCACCCGCCCCCCAAAATGTCTGTGGACGTCCCTGATGACAATAATAAAGCTGCTATGGTGTAACTGTTCATGTTGCGTGAGAACGATGAAAGGCCATAAAAGGTGTTCTTCTGAAACAGGAAGCTGGGCGACCACAGAGCTGCCCGCCCCGATTCAAATACACGGGGCGTTGGAGAGAAAAACCCAAACGTCACGATGAGATCACTTCTCTGGAAATGAACCTGCTGTGGTTTTACAAGCAGAGTGGAAAGAAACTACAAACTGACCCACGAGACGGAGGGCAAACAGAGCGGGAATGTAGGGTGTAATGTCGGTGCTTACACTATTGATTTGTATTTCTTAGAACTTCATTAGAAATGTAAAAACTCCTTTGTTTACTTCCTGAACATAGTGACATCACTATGGAACACTCGTGCTCCTATTGGCTAGCGCTCCAACACATTGTACCTGATAAACTTGGGGGCGGGACATCTCTAAGTGGTTGACCAATCACAGAGCCGGCCAGCTAACCAATCAGAGCAGACTGGGCTCTGGTTTCAGACAGAGGGTGAAAAGAGGTGCTGCAGCACAGGCAGTATGAGAGAAATAAAGAGCTTTCTGAACATTAAAGCGTGGAGACATGGGAGTGTGTGTTTCTGCACAAAGTTGAAACTTGGTTGAAACACTTTGAGCACCGACACCTGCCGGCCCTACATTCCCGCTCTCTTTACCCTCCGTCTCGTTGGAACCACTCCTTTTTTAAGAAAGATGTGAAAAAGTTGTTCTTCTTTACACTTCTGCTTCTTGGAAAGCGGAAAATAGCTTCAACAACTGTGATGGAAACTTAACAACCACAGCTGCTAGATTTCATCAAGAAATGTCGACATGTTGACCAAAATGAACATATCGGTACGTCAGACAAACTACACATATGTGCATGCATGTGCAATTACAATTATATATTGTATGTAATCAGAGTGTTATTTGCACATTTATAATTTACTCATATTATTTCTTTGTGTTATTAACAGTCCTGCAGTGCAGCGTGTGCAGGTCAACACTTCTGAAGTGTGTTCCATCAGAAAGAGGAAACTGGACGACCTCAGAGCTGCTAGCTCGTGTTAACCACAAGTTACACAACACACACGCTATCATCCACTAAAATATACCTCACTACAGTCTGAAACCTTAGGGACCAGTAAACATTGACTTTATAGATTTTATTTCCTTCTAAAAGATCCTAATTTAAGAGAAAATTGTCTTTTTCTTAAGTGTCCTCTTAAGGACAAGAACTCACACACTGTCCCTAAGAACCAATCATTACCTCGGCTTCGTCGGCTCTGTTTGATTGGCTTCTTCCGGCTTTGGGATATCTTGACGTCGCTGTATGTGACGTCTTCTCCCTTTTCCACTTCAGCAGCTGAAAGGAAACACAAAGGACCAAACATTACTTTGACTTTTAACACAAGTTGAACACAAATGAATATGCTAAGGATTGTTTAGATTTGTCCTTGTCTTTAGCAGACAGTTGGTAATTAGGGTCAAAAGCACAACATATATATATATAACTTATATATTAAAATGCATTATTAATTGAACACTAAACCTCAAATGTTACAGACACACATTCAATGATTGAGTGTCTTAACTGTCTCTGGGAATTCACATGTTAACTTAAGAACATCAGAAAGATCCCAGAACTAACATTTTATTTATTTAATTGCAATAAATATATAAAAATGATGCAGAATTACAACATAATAATACCTATTATTGTTAATTCTGAGTTCATGTTTTTTCAGGTCAGTCCGTATGATGACAAATGTTTAAAATATGTTCTGAATGGAGATCGGGTCGGTCTGAGCTATGCTAAGCTAACATTGTAGCTAAATGTGCATCTATTCGAGTCTCTTTATGCATTCATCAAAACATGGAATAGGTGGAAACATTTATTACATTTGGAGTCAATAAAATCTCTTTCTTAATTTAGACAAAGTATATGTTCAGTGTTTTTGCATAATTGTTAACCTAGCTCACAAATGAAAAGGGGATTCTTTTGGTTTCAATAAATTCTCCTGGAAAATGTGTGTTTTTAAATTGAGCTGCTGCACAATTTGAGATTTTTGTTGTTTTCTGTGTCTGACCTTCAGGTTTCCTTCGGATGCATCGTCGCACCAGAACCAGCAGAGCCACCAGAATCAGCAGAACCAGAACAGAGAGGGATGCAGCAAGAGGAAGCAACAAGGAGGGAGGGGGAGAGGAAGTGGAAATTGAAGAAACATAGCTGGTGGTAGGAGGACTTGCAGTGGTGGGGGGTTTCTCTAAAAAGGACAAACAAATAATGAAAATCACAGAAATACACATTTCACCATCCATCTTGTTTAGTATTTGTGTTTCAGGTTGAAACTAATGGACAGTAATTCCTGATATTAGGCTTTACAGCAGGAATAAGTCCCAACACCCTGAAATTAGCATTATAAAGATTATTTTATTTTATGGCAGATTATTTTCTGCAATCATCCAAAAATCGAAAATGGAGAAATCCCATTGGCCAGGGGCGTCGCCTGGACCTGAAAACATTCGGGGCTTAGCCCACAGTGGCGGCGGCACTACAGTGGCATTTTTTACTGCAACACTCCCCACACGCACACACACAGTACACCCGCAACTGTTACAATGAAGGCTCGATAATCAGCTCACGGCATATAGGCAGGGGTAAAGTGGTATTTTTTATGAGTGGGGGGCTCACCTCCTCTAGGGGGGTCCGGGGGGATGCTCCCCCGGGAAGATTTTTTTTTAAATATTGAAGTTGAAACCATCAATCTGGTGCACTTTGAGAGCAAAATGAAGAGATCTATGGATACCTCTCTCAACACCCATATGAAGCAGAACTGTAAACAGATGTACTTTTTCTTCATGGATATTTTACTAATCACTCCCCTTTTAAACTCTATTCTTGTTTTACTGCCATATAGTATTTTATAACTGTTTTTCCTTTATTCTCTTTTTTTTTTAATAACTATAATGATCATATGAAGGTGTGCCGCGGAAATAATCTTTTGAATAATTTGTGACCAAACCGTTTGAGACCCACTGAGATAACTTAGACTAAAGTTAAGTATCTAAACACTCAGAGAGTCCTTTAGCTCACCTGAGTCTCTCAGTCTGAGAGGAGAGGACTCTCCTCCAGCTTCTTGTGGAACAAACAGCTCCTTATGTCCGTTAGTGCAGCTAGCTAACCAGATGCTAACAACACGGTCCATGCTGGCATCGGTCCCTCTCTCCCCCTCTCTCTCTCTCTCTATCACACTAATGGCGCATTTCCACTACACGGTCGGCCTCGGCCACACTCGGTACGGCTCGGTACGGCTTGGCCGCGTTGGGCCTTAACAGGGCCGACTCACTTCATGCTGCGCTTCCATTACAGTTTAGGAACTGGGGTAGTTACTATAGTAACGCAGTGTAGGCGGAGCCGTGACGTCATCTTCAATGAGAACTCCAGAAACACAACATCAGCCGTTAGCTGTTAGCACTCAGAGCTCACAGCTCCTCATATCTGTTCAGAAACTGGACAAAAGTTAAACAAGTACAAACCACAGACTGCCTGTGTCATGGTGAATACAGTCGCTGCTTTATTTATGTCTGTATAGGCCGTTGTTGTGAGTGTGGACGGTCGGAGCATATACTGCGTTAGCTTAGCCAATCTCCATTTAGACAACGCGCATTTTAAAAGGTTTTTCGCCTGCCGTCTGTCTGCAGACTTGACAAAGCATTAATTCATGGTTTTTACTAACCGGTATCAGTATGTTGTTACTTAGGCATCATTTTGAAACGTGTATTACAATTAAATCACGGTCAAATATGTCCATCTTGTTGTAGTTCTAGCCCTCTTGCCAGCGTTCCTCTCTCTAGTTTAGCATACTCAGCCCGACTCAGCCCTGTTTGTTGGCCCCGATAGAACCACAATTTTCTAGGGCCAGAAAAGAGGTGAAAAAGTGGCCCCGCGCCGTGCCGCGCCGGAACTAGGCCTAGTGGAAGCACAACCAAAAAAGGGGACGGCACGACACGGCACGCTTAAAGCGAGCTCCGCGCTGCAGTGGAACTGCGCCATAAATGCGCTATTGCCACACACACACACACAGAGCCGAGCTTGAATGACACAAGCACACGTTTTTTCCATGCAACTCTCTGATTGGTCTGGTGTCATGCCTCTGTTGCATTCACTGAACACGGGAAATTACAGTGCTGCCGTCCTCTCTTGTGTCATGATGAGGTTCACGTAAAGCATGGTTAATGTATTATATTATTGAGGGAGAATTGTCCGGGGCTACAGAAAAAACATTCGGGGCTAAAGCCCCGGATGCCCAGGCCAGGCGACGCCACTGCCATTGGCTGTTTGTGAAGGGCTACATGTGTATGCTATGCTACAGAAATACAATGAGTCCTGAAACCAAAGGAAAGCTCCTCACCTGAGACAGACAGCCAGCTCTCTGGAGACTCTCCTTCATTCTGGACTCTACACTTGTAGAGGCCTTCATCAGACCTGTTAACATGGTGGAGGGTCATGTGACCATCAGACTCAGTCCTGATGGAGACGCCATCTTTGTAGAAATCAGCAGAGGGGGGGTCGGCCATCTTTGTTCTACAGGTCAGAGTGACGTCATCTCCCTCCATCACAGGGAGGACAGGACTCTGCAGGATCACTGATCCACCTGAACACAGAGACAGATGGAGAATAACTTACACATGGCAGAGATTATTAATAAACCCACTACCTGCAAAGTGTGGCTGTTGTGTAGCTAACTGAAAAGCTAACGTTAGCATGCTGAAGTCTGAAACGTCCAATAAGTAGAACAATGGACTTTAATCACATTAAAATACACTTGACAGAAATAACGTAACAAACCTCAACAGTTAGCTTAGCATAAGTAGATACTTTCCTCGTTTCTGAACTTCATAAACTCTGAAACTCTCCGTACAGACCTTCACTAATGATTAGTAAAACTCGTATTTAAAAAAAAGTGCTTTTAATAATAATATCTATAATTATTAATAATTAATAACTAGGAAAATAGGAGGGATGTTTAAGCCGTTCCACATGGTTTAAAGACTTTATTATATATATTAGTCCTGTAGGAAGAACGATCATTTATCATGATACCATCCAAAACTAACTCTATATTTCTGACCCACTAGACTAAGATTTAAGAAAAGAACCTTTCTCTTCATGTTTCTTCCATGAATCACGTCTGCATTTTCTTTCATATTGTGTTAAAAGATGAGATTTAATTGATATCAATGTTTTTTCCTTTCTGTTCATTTCAGCTTCTGCAGTTGAAATAGGAGAAGACGTCACACACATCAAATGATCACAAAACCTGCAACAACCAATCAGACCAAGGTAATGATTGGTCCTCAGGGACTGTGTGTATGTTTTATTGTTCTTATATTCATGTGAGGACCGACTGGAGTCTTTAAATTATGATAATATAGAAGAAAATAAAATGTATAAAATATGTGTTTACCAGCCCCTAAAGTATGAGTCTGTACTGAGGAGTATTTTAGTGGATGATAGTGTGTGTGAGAATGTGTGTTTTGCACCCTGTGGTTAGCACAAGCTAGCAGCTCTGAGGTCGTCCAGCTTCCTCTTTCTGATGAACTTCTTAAATTATTTTTAGTATTGATGAGGAAACAGAGAGGCTGATCTTACCAGAGACGGTGATGGTGATGGTGTTACTGGTGGATCCCTCTGGGGACTCACACCAGTACACTCCACTGTCCACAGGGTCAGAGGAGCTGATGTTACAGGAGGAACCAGCAGGTGTTCCCCAGTCTTCACACTCAGCTCTGTTCTCATAGCTCGTGCTTCTCCTCACAGTCCATCCATCAGAGGCGTCCTCACATCTCAGAGAGACACGTTCATCTCTAAATACCTGAGATCTGCTGGGAGTCACCGTCAGACGAGCTGCAGGGAGTTATTGGATTCTGAGTCAAACTTAAAAAATAAAACCCGTCCCAGAATAAAGTTCTCCAGAGCTTCTTTTTACTGGTTACGCAGCAAGCTCTCTTTCTCTCAGGAAACTTTGCCTGCTCCAAGTAAACCCTCATTACGGTAATAAGGGATGCACAACTAATGGACATGTTATCAACATCACAATGTGGACTCATGCTATATTCAAACTGCAGTGAGCGCCATGTCTGGTTAGGTTTAGTGAACTCTTTATCCTGAGGGAAAATAATACTTGCAGTTCACATCAGGGGCCGAACACATAACAATACAGATAATAAAACATTGTATTTAAAGAGTTATTTTAAAGGTACTCGTGCCCCATCTCTTACGTGTCCAAGTCCACTGTTGTCAATGTACTTGTGTTTAGTTCAGATCACAACAGGCCCTACAGCTGAACCCAGAGTCAAAAGGAATTCACCTTTTCCACTTTTCAAACAGAGACAGAACATCTCCAAAAAGACAGATGATGATTTCATCAGGAAGTTCCTCTTATATCCAGACGAACAACAGAAAGAGTTGCTTTGAAAGGAACGTCTTGCTACTCATAAAGCGTGGTAGGATTGGATCCTCTGATGTGTAAAGAGTTCTTAAATGTGGTATAGTTGAGGGTCTCATGAAGTGAAGGAGCGTCTTGATGCTATGAAGCAGCTGTGGCAGCAGATACTGGAAGAACCACTCACATGTATTCATAGATCTGTGAGCTTTACTGACTGCAGGCGTTCAGGCGTCAGAGTGTTCAGAGGCAGTGGTTTCATCACGTTAACAAACACTCAAACAGGATCAAATATTCAACTCAATATAGTTTAGTGAGCAGAAATAAATGTAGCCTTTAAAGCATTCTTTGAAAAAGAGAATGTCTCTGTGTCTTTGAGAAAGAGAACCAGCAGCAAAGTGTTTCCTCCTGAGAATCTAAAGGTTACTGACCTGCGTTTGTTGAGCAGCAGAACAGGGAGCTCAGCACTGGAGATCAAACACAACACTTGATCACATTACTAACAAACACATGGACCGAAACCCCTTATCCCCCGGGACACATCAAGTATTTTGATTCTAACATTCAAACCTGTTTGTTCTCAAACTTTTATTTACCATAACCCTTTATCCCTCTTTCATATCTTGAAGTATTAAATGTGTTCAGGCTTACTCACGGAGCAGGAGAGACGTGTCCTTCATTCTTCCTCTTGGTGCAATGAGATCAACTCTTCTTCTTCTTTTTCTTCTTCTTCTTCTTCTTCTGGTGCATGCTGGGAGATTTTGGAGTGTGAGAGAAACAGAAGAGTGAGACTTTTGCGTTATATTTTCCGTTTATTTTTGTGTAATGGGTGTTAATTTAATATAGTTTATCGGTGGTAGTTTGATTTGCTTTACTTTTCGTGCTTTTTGGTGGTGTTTGTGGGGTGTTTTGTTTGTGGGCTTCTCCTGCCGGTGTCTCTCCGGCCGGCGTCTGACCCCATGGTAAATGGGGAGTTTGCCAAACTCACGCGGAAGCACGGCATTAAAATCTCAGCCGGCTTCCCATGCACTGAGGAGGAGATCGGGCTGGCTGTGGGAGAGAAGGTCGGGCACAGCAGCATTAAGTCCCGGGCGCGGATGAACAGCGCGGTGGTGATCTTTCTGGATCAGGTGGAGAAAGTGAACCGCGTCATCGAGACAGGCATCACGGTGAGAGAAATGTGTGTAAAGGTACAGCCGCTGATGCTGCCCGCAACCAAAGTGGTACTTTCTAATGTCCCTCCCTTCATAACTGATGAGTTCCTCAGAACTGCCCATACACGGGAAACTTGTTTCTCCAGTGAAAAATATGCTGTCTGGATGTAAGTCTCAGTTACTGAAACACGTAGTGTCTCACCGCAGACAAGTTTATATGATACTGATCAATCGGAATGCGGAGCTTAACCTCCGTTTTTACATTAAAGTAGATGATTATGACTATGTGATTTTTGCAACATCATCAGTTATGAAGTGTTTTGGTTGCGGGGAGGAGGGGCACACCGTGAATGCCTGTCCGAGGCGCGGGGATCCGGCTCCGCCTGGTCCGGATGACCCGCAGGCTGGGCCGTCCAACGCGCCAGCGGCGGGGCCGTCCACTGCTGCGCCGGGACCACCCGCGGCTGCGCCGGGACCACCGGCTGTGCCAGGGCCGTCCGTTGCGCCGGAACCGCCCGTGGCTGCGCCGAGGCGGACTGCCGCGCCAGCCGCCGATGCGCCGGTTGTACAACGCGGCCGCTGCGGTTGTGGGGGGCCCCCCTCCGGAGGCGGCCGCTGCTGCTGACAGCAACGCTGCTCCTGAGCAGTCGGCGGTGGCGCGCGATGTGACGTCTCGGGCGCGGAGCGGGCGAGGGCGCGGTACACAGCGCGTTTCTGCTGCTCTGCCCGGCTTGCGGTGCGGTGGTTTTGCACAGGGTGTGGGTGATTATGTCCAGGAAAATGAGGTGGTGGTTTTGTGTGAAGCAGAAGAAAAGGGGGATGGGAAAAAAAAAGATAAAAAAACAAATACAAATGGTGAAAAAAGCCCTGAAATATTCAATGAACCACGAAGGTGATTTGGCAAAAGAAAATGTAGAGACAGGTGAAGTCAGTAAAACACAGGAGGAGGATAGGGAAACACAGATGGAAGAAACGGGAGAGGAGAAGAACACATGGGGTGAGCAGGTGGAGGTTGAGATGGAGGAAGAGGAGGTGGAGGAAGAGGAGGTGGAGGAAGAGGAGGTGGCAGCAGAAATGATAGATAAAAGAAAGACTGCTAAACGCAGGAGAAATAAAAAGGATGTATGAACCGTTGCAAAAAGCAGTAAAGTAGTGAGTGAGGGAAAGGAAGGAAGAGAGCAAGGACAGACGGAGAGAGTTGGGATGATTGTGTGTCTGACAGCAGCGATGAGCCAGGTTTTTAGAGCAGTAGTCAACAAAAAAAAATGTACTCAGCTGAAATGATAAAAAATGACCTGGTGCAGACAAAAAACCAACATAACGTTATCATAGAAGAATATTTCCCAGATGTGGCCGTTTTCTGTGCCTCAGCTCCACATGAACAGAAAGAGCAGTCTGTCTTGGATGAGCTGGAAGTTTATAGACTAAAAATAATTGTAACTAAAGTAAGGAAGCAAATGGGCAGCGGTGATTTAAAAAACCTCAATGTGTGTGTTTAATTTATTTGTTTTTAGTTTTGCTTTTAATATCTCACTCCTAATGGATACTTTCAGAGTGGGAAGTTTAAATGTAAATGGAGCCAGAGAGGAAAGAAAGAGGGCTTTCATATTTCAGACTGCAGAAATCAAACATGTCGATGTCCTTTTTTACAAGAGACGCACAGCAACGTTTTTAATGAGACGGACTGGAAAGGGGAGTGGGAGGGGGAAGTCATTTTAAGCCACAACACCTCTCTCAGTGGGGGAGTGGGCTTCCTCCTCTCCAAGTCTTTCAGTCCTGTCTCACTGGAGGTCGAGCATTTTATCAACGGGAGGTTGCTTTTAATAAAAACCTTTTTACAGCTGTTTTTATAAATGTGTATGCTCCAACACACGGTGCAGAGAGGAAGCTGTTTTTACTCAAAGTTCATGATGTTTTAAACGGTTGTGCCACGGAGGACTTTTTATTCTTGGGTGGGGATTTTAATTGTACAGAAAATGCATCTTTAGATCGCCACCATGCAGAGCCGCACCCAGCATCCCAGCATGCTCTGAGGCAGCTGGTCCACTCCCACGGCCTGGTGGATGTATGGAGGAGGATGCACGCAGACAACAGGCAGTACACCTGGTCCCACATCAGAGAGAATCTCATCAGCTATACACTAGATCGTTTTTATTGTTTTAAGCATAATTTTAACACTTTTAAAATGTGCAGTATATCACCTGCTGGTTTTATGGATCACTCTTTGCTTTTATGTAATGTTTTTATTAGAAATGTTTTACCCAGAAGTGCATATTGGCATTTTAACTCGGTTTTAACATTTGATAAACATTTTAAAGAGGCCCTTATTTATTTCTGGAGTGTTTTTAGGCAGAGGAAGGGAGATTTGAGCAGTCTTAGGCAGTGGTGGGACCATGGTAAAACTGAGATAAGAATGCTCTGCCAACAGCACACCCTCAATGTCACACAAGACATCATCAGATCTATGAAAGACCTGGAGAGTGATATAGTGGAACTAGAAACAATAAGTGAGACAGACCCTTTCCCGGAGATCTACCTGAGCCCAGGGCTCGGAGAACTGACCGGCCCCCTGCTCAAGGTCGCAAACAAAGAAAGAATGACTATCCACAAAGCTGACAAGAAAACACTTTACATGAACATTGTAAAGACGACCAACACAAACGTGCTGAAGGACAGGGCCTCCACTGTGTGGACCAGACTGGGTGCAGGAGGCGGACCAGGCCCACAGTGGAGGGTTTTATACAAACCTCCCATTAAAAAACGTACTGCCGACCTCCAGTGGAGAATTTGACACAGTGCCATCGCCTGTAATTCTTTTATCTCCATTATTAATCCTGCTGTTTTTAACAAGTGTCCATGTTGTGGTTTTAGAGAGACAGTTTTCCATGTGTTTACAGAGTGCAAGAGACTCACAGGGTTTTTTAGACTTTTTAGTACAGCTTTTACCCAGAGTGTTTTTATCATGGGGGCTCCATACAAGAAGACAAGCTAGGAAAAGTGGCAGCTCCTGAAGTACCTCTCTGGCGAAGCAAAAATGTCCATTTATGTAAGCAGGAGAAACAGGGTTGAAAATAAGAAAGGGGAAGAGGCAAAAGCGATCTGGCTGTGCAACATCAGAGCCAGACTCTGAGCATCGTTTTTATAAACACATTGGGGACTTGGACGCTTTTAAACAGCGTTGGTGCTATGATGATATTGTGTGTTCTGTTGTGGATGAAGATTTGCACTTTGCACAGTTTTTTAAGACATAGGTTTTAATGTATTTTAAGTGATTCGTTTTTTTATTGCACAATGAAGCACTTTATTTGAAGAATGTATAATTGATCGTATGTAAATAAAGTGTTTTTGCAAAAGTCAAAAGTCTTCTTCTTCTTCTGTCCGAGCAGTAAAACCACTTCCTGTTCCTGCTTTGAGGAGATAGCCTAATGTTAGCTTTTACTTCAGAAATCATAAAGTGGTGTTAATAAAGTATGATTTTATCTTTTACGAAACTTTTTTTTCATATGGAATGCAGTTGGAGGTCAACCAATCACAGAGCTTGAGGCAAAGCAGAACAATAGCTGAGGATTCTGGGTAGTGTAGTGTCTTCGGCCATCCTAAACTCTGAACACATAATTTGTTTCTCTGAATCGAAGGGGAAAATTACAAAAGCATTGTACACAATTGAAACCAATCAATGTTGTGTAATTAACAAGGATAATCTGGTGTTTCTGAGTTGATGAGTAGTGCAGATATCACTGTAAATAAAATCAATGGACAGTAAGGAGAATACTTACTTCCGGGTGTAAAATGCTCTGTTATCCAATGGGAATGGACGCTCAGCTCTTTGGGTCCGTAATACAATAAAGGGTACTTAATCAAATAGGAATATAATTATCTTTTAAATAACGTTAACTAAAGGGAACAATCTCTTTGACACAGCTGAAGCTCTGGCCTTCCTTAAAAACTAACTAATTTAATAAAAATCACAGTTGTATTACACACAATGCACTGTTTTTTGAGAACAAACATTGGTGAATAATGCACCATAATACATTCTGACGAAAAATAAAAATGATTATGAATACAAATAAAATAAAAGAAGCCTCCCGTGAGTTACTACAAGCTATAAAGTAGATTTTAAAAACGTTTTATAGAATAAAAGCTCACTGCTGGACGTTGTAGAAATGCGTGTGTGCACCACGACAAAGGAGCCTCATTCACTTTACATTGGGGTTGTTTGCGTGGTGCAGACACGTAAATGTAGCAAAGTTCGTGACTCCACCACGCACTGCGGTGTTAAGGAGTCGTGGTGGAGTCACGCATTCTGGTGAGACCAGGTTGGTCCAGGGAGATGCTGCCTTCAGGGAACTGTCATTGGACACAATTTTGTAAAAGAGAATTTCAAAACAAACTTCTTGAGAGGTGAATCGATTAACCACGTGTCAATAAACTCTGTCCGAGGCTAAAAAAGCATTCTTTCCTTCTTTTTTTTTGCTCGATCAAGAACAGACAGTGGGTGTTTCTCAAAGTCGAGGACACTTCTTTGGTACGACAAGTCTTCAGAGTCAGGTCCTTCAGAGGCTAGGCAAGAATCCTTCCTGGCATTCGGAAAACGAAGAGTGGAACAGGCGAGCAAGTGTGCAGGTGTGCGTCATATGAGAGGCCCCGCCTTAAATTGAGCGCGATTTGTTTGAAGACTCGTAACTGATTTGCGAAGATCGAAGATGTACTTGAGTAACTGTATTTTGTAAAAGGATCATCTCTCCAGGACAGAACCACTAAACTAACATAAAACGTTCTCCTTCTGTTTGCACCCTTGAAAAAGTCCTGGAGGATAAGCAGCCATAAGAAAATCATAAAATCACCAATCAATAATAACATGTGTATTCATATCATACTTGATGTCTGCAAACCTTTTTTACACATATTGATGCACATTGTAGCATAAACCACACATATCAACAAAAGAGGCAAAGTCAAAACAAGGTTAATTTAAATTATTTATTGAGGTGCAAAA